CTGTCTCTCTGGATTTACCCTTGTTTCATCTTTGAATTTTTATTTTTGACGTACATAATATACTCCCTCATTTATTCTATAGATAATAGACAGCCTACAAAAGGAGAAAATGGGACCCTTTTTTAGATATTACCAATTGTTCTTTCTGTGAAAGATCAAACTCTGTTTACAGAGTATCTGTGTGCTTATCTGTTAAGAACCAACCTTTCTGGGGTTCTGGTGATAGTCGGAATATAAGACGTACCCTTAAGGCAGGATTATAGATCATTTTTTTCTCTTTATACTTTTCTAGAGGAGAAAAAAATAATCCATAATAATAACTGAAAGCACTATGTGATTAAATATGTAAATAGCAGTACCTTTAAAGAGTTATTTTCCAGTTAGTTTTTGTGGCGCTGGAGATTGAACCCAGGGCCTTGTGCAAGCAAGGAAAGCACTCTACCAACTGAGCTATATCCCCAGCCATAGTTTATTTTTGAGTTGTGCTAAAGGCAAGAATTAGCTGAAGGAGAGCTTATGATATCAGCAAAATGGAGATAAGTACAGGACGCATTGGTGGAAAGGTAGAAAATTACATTGGACAGGGTATGGTATGGAAGAAACTAGGTGAAATGGATAATATGTGCAGTTAAGGAAAAGAAAAATGAATTCTAGCTAAAACTCAACCCCTAAGTTGCTCTTAGAGCAACAGACCCAACTTCTGGAGTCTTGGGTGACATCAGTAAAATGAAAGTTCTGAACTGCATGACTCTATGAGGCCTTTCCAGTTCTGAAATGTTCAGTTCTGCAAGGCTAAGGAGATTGGAGCTAGAGTCTAGAAGTAGTTTAATTTTAAGACTACATTTTATTTAAACCAGTATATTCAAGATATTATAATTTCAATGTGTTACTAGTATAAAAATGTGAAAAACTTTTTCTTTAGTGAGGACTGAACCCAGGATATGGCTTACCACCGAGCCATATCCCCTACCCTTTTTATTTTTTATTTTGAGGCAGGGTCTGGTTGCTTAGGGCTTCACTTAGTTGCTGAGGCTGGCTATGAATTTATGATTCTACTGCCTCAGCTTCCCAAGTTACTGAGATTCTGTACCTACAGCATATCTCAATAATTTGAATTGACTAATTTGAAGTCACATTACACACTCAATAGCCACTTGTGGCTTCTGACTACTACACTGGACAGAGAACTTCTAGAGGGTTTAGACTGAGGAATTATTCATAGGGAATGGTAATATACTAATTATTTTGTCTTTCAATATCATACATTAAAATATTTACAGTATACCACCTATAGTTTCCCCATTCTAGAGGGGTACCTTGCTCCAACCATTAAAGTAATTGCTTATTGTCATCTCCTCTTTTCCCATCCAAACTGCTGGAGATACAATGCCAGATTTATTATTTCTCTTCTGTTAACACTCTAATTTCTGGAGAATATTCCAATTCATCCTCAACAATGGTGCCAACAATAATTTTTCTTTAGAAAGATGTCACTTCTTACTAACTTTTTATAGTCTAAAAAAATAATCTGAATTTTTTGTCATGCAGGTTCTTAATTGTCTTTCTGGCTTCAGGTTTTTCTTAAACTATCACAACACCTATTCTATTTCCCAATTTAGTATCTTTATTCTTACTGATCACTTTTGCCTTTAATTCTGTTCTCTTGATCCACCTGACAACTCCTTGCTTATCCTTCAAGATCCATTTAAAAGCCAACTTTTCCTTTTATTACACTCTGCTCTTTAATATAGAAATTAAAACATTCACCCACTTGTTTTTACTTATCTTCTTAAATATCTCTCTTCCTCATTAAGCTGTAAGCTCCTAAAAGGTTGTTCCATAATTTTTTGGTAATCAGTGGTGTCTGACACATAATAATATCTCAAGACTTCCTGAATGACAATTTCTTTTAGCAACAATTTCTAACAGTCTGTTAACATCTCTAAGTTTGATTTTTAAAATACTCCTAAAATCCACTTGGATTTTAAGACTGGCTTAAGTTATGAATCTAATTTTCCCCCAAGATATTTTTTCTCAATACCATTTATTAATTCTTTTTAAAAAATCACATGTTGTTTTTCTCTTAAGTCACTTGGACTCTTCTTAACTCTCACAATACTCCATTAGCCCCCCCTTTTCATGGCATCTTCAATCCCATTCCAGGGTGACTTTTAAATTGCCACACATCAGGTTTCCTAAGTGATAAACCAACTCTATCATTTGCATCCTAATAAAAAAACTTCTGCTGGCTCCCTTCTGCCAACAGGATAAATCAACCTCTTATCTTAGATTAATATTTGATTTTCTTTACAAAAGGGTTCCAAACTGCCATTCCCCTTATCTCTCTTCCTAGATTAACAAGAGAACAGTGGTTAAAAGAGTGAGATTTGGAGTGGATCTTATATGGAGTAGAGGCTCCATATATAATCTGTGCTGCTTTTTACCTTTATGACTCAGGTTCCTCTTCTGTCACATGGGGTTCATAGTACCTACCTCATAGCTTGTGTGAACTGGATGAATTAACCCATAAAGAAAGCTTAGTAAAGCTTCAAGCATGATAAGGGATCAATAAACTATTAATAATGGTTAGGCTCTTATACCTCTGCATCACCAACAAATTCTTTACTTGGGTCTTTTTTCTTCTCTATATATCTGTTCTCATTTATCAACTGTATAATTAATTCTGTGTCCCTCAATAAACTGCAGCCCTCTCTGGAACCTTGCCACCCAAAGTGTGGCCCATGGACCAGCAACTTGGCATCCCTGGGAGCTGGTAGCAGTGCAGAAAGTTCAGCCCATTCCAGATTCGAATGCATGAAAATCACTTGAGAAACTGTAGAAAATGCACATTCCTAGATTTAAGATCGAATCCTAAGTCGCACCTCTTTACACTGGTCTGGAGCCCGTCACTGGGTAGAGTGCCTTGTTTGTCCTTGCTCCTGCCAGAGGATAGGCAACAAATAAATAAATAAAGTGGGGGCGGAGCACTGTGGCAAGGGAGCACAAAAGCGCCAAAAAGGAAGAATGAGAAAAGAACACGTGTAAGTATGTCTTGACCTGTCATGCAAAACAAAAAGAGGCTGCAAGTTAGTTAAGAGCTTCAAACTCAGTAGTGTGGACACCTGGCCAGCGGCTTAATGGAAAGGGCAAAGGAGGAAAAACAATCCGCTCAGATGCCGCTCCCCTGGCGCGGCCCTTACCGTGCAGCAAGTGCTCGGTCTCCCGCAGCTCCCGCTCCTTCTCGCTCAGGAGTTTGGTGACCGCTACCAACTCTGGCCCCTTGACTCGTAACTGGGCTTCTGACCCTGCCTGGCGCTCGAGGAAGGTCCGTAAAGGCCCGCCGCGGGCGAACAGCTCCTCCAGCGGCGGGCTACTGCAGCTTAGGGGCCGGCGGGCTGCGCCAACAGCTCGGCCAGCCCACAGAACACGGGCAGCGCCCCACAGAAGCCCGCCCCGCATGGCCGGCCCAAAGAGCTAGGCCCATCAGAACCGGAAGTTCCGGACAGAGTAGGTCTCGCGACGCTGCACAGAGCTTGGAAATAGGGGCGAGAGCTAGCCGCACCCCCGTCGAGCGCACGCGCGGGTTTTAAAAGACCTCTCGGAAGCGTTGGCGAGAACTTCCGGGCCAGCACGGGAACGCTGCGTAGTTCTTGAGGGCCAAAATTGAGGGGGCGTGGCGGGGGCGGAGCTCGCGGGGCGGAGCGGGGCTGTCCTGAGGGGCGGGTCGGAGAGCTGTGGGGGCGGAGCTGGCGGGGAGAGGCGGGGCGTAGAGAGGGGCGAGGCTGTCCTGGGGGGCGGGTCGGAGAGCAGTAGGGGCGTCTCCGACAGTGATGGGCGTGGCAGAGGGCGACCGGGACAGGGCTGCCTGCGGGGGCCGGCACCTGTTTCTAATCCTGGGTCGGAAAGGCCTCCTCGCGGGGTGGGTGGGAATAAATTGCTCTTCTGAGACAAGAACCAAATGAGTTTACAAAACGTGCTGTCTAGTCTTGTGTCTGCTACGTAATTTACTTGGTTTCAAGTGACTTCTCTCAGTTGCCTGTCTATCCTCACTGAGCCATGTTTTTCTTTTAATGCAGTTGTGTGAATTCTGTGTGATTACCACACAACAGCCCTGAGCGAGGGTCTCCTGGGTCGGGTGTGCTGCTCAGCAGAAGAGCACTCACTGGCCTCTCCCCAGGTAGCATCCCCAGCACTGCGCACAGGAAGAACTGCCTCTGGCAGCCTGATGCTTATCACTTCCAAAAAATTTACAGATAGGTGCCAAGAATACTGAAGTTTATTGGCAGTTTTTAAAACAGTTGTTCACAGGCCACCGGAGAAATAAATACAACCAAGACAGTCCTGGGAATGCAAAGGTTAAATGTTAAATGTTCAATCTGGGATCCCCTGCGATCTAACTGTGTTAACCAGTGTCCCCATGGTGTGTTTTTGTTTTTGAGATAACTTATTTGAAATAGCTTTTTATTTTTCTAAAAAAAAAAAAAAAGAAAGAAATGGTAAATCATAGGAGCGTTTAACAAAGTTAAAATATCCTCAGTCATCTAACCAAAACTGTTAAGTATAATATTCTTTCAAAAAAAATAATTTGGGGGCTGGGGATTGTAGCTCACTGGTAGAGCTCTTGTCTAGTGTGCTCAGCAACTGGGCTCATCCTCAGTATTGGGGAAAAAAAGAATATGCATTTTTGCATTGCTTCTCTCTCTTAGCACTACATAAAAAAGGAGGTGAAATGAAAGAATGAAATGATCCTTGACATAATGGAAATAGTTTTGCTACTTAAAAGCTCCAATTATTACAATTCTTTCACTTTGTATGTTCAAGGTCCAGTACTTTACAAAATTGTCTTGCTGTAAGATAGTGTTTGAAATCTATTTTATTTTAATGTTGATCCAAGAATAGAATGGGACAGTAGGTTTGTTTATACCCATTATATACCCACTAGGAGCAGTTATTTCCTAACTCTAAACTCAACTTTGATTTTTTTTTTTTTTTTACTACAGAAATAAATGGCTGGAGTAATTTGAACTCAACATGATAAATCTCTCAGCTGAATTCTCAAAACATGTTATTTCAAGAATATATTTCATTATAAAAGGTGCAAAATTCTAATAAGCTTATAGAACAATGTAATGAATCCAACCAGAATTTATTTTTCCTCAGATGCATAAGCAACTTAAGCAACACATGTAAGTGTACCCTTTATTCCTGTAGTGTTATACCAAGGAGGAAACAATAACTTGTCTAAGGATACATTGGTGAATTCTTTATTAATTCAAAAACATTTTAAGAAAGTGAAGAAAGTCTAATGCATACGCATTTTACAATGGTGTCCATAGGTTTCCACAACATAGTTAAATGAAAACAGCTGTTGTTTGATTTACTTTGAAAATTCAAACATACTTAGTATGAGACTTCTGGATTTTCTTACACTGTTGACATGCTCAAATTCTATTACATGGTAAAAATGTAGCATTTGGGGAAGTCTACTGTTGTACATAGGTAAAATCATGAAGTAGAGTCAAGGAAAGGGGAATAAAAATCCAGAATAATTTAAACTGGAGGAAAAATAATCTTGATTATCTATGCAATTGATGAGTAACTACAGTTATTTTGGCATTGCAAAATAACCAAGTGTGGTGCCTCTTAAGATGTATTCATGCACTTAAAACTTCTTTGTAGTCCACTAATAAATGTTGGTGGAGTCCAAAATATGGATATAGATTACTAAATATAATGAACATGGTAGTAAGAAATTATACACATTCAATATGATAAAGTATATAGAATCAAACACATTAAAATTTTTAGTATTAGTAAAACATCTTAAAATCATATACAAGAAACATTGTATTTATGACAAATAGTTAAAGCTGGGGTGAAAATATCAAGTCTTTTACATTATTTCAATATTGTGTACATTGTTCAGTGGAGGGCATATAGAAAAGCACTAAGCAAAATGATTACCAATTTAAATTACCTCTTATTACAATTAATAAGATTAAGATCTTTATTATCCAAAGTGTGTGGAGGCTTAAAATAATTGCACAGGTAGTTCAAGGAAAAAAATTTACTTCCACCTCTATTAAGCAAATATTCGACGTAACACTGTTTTAGTTTTATTCTCCCATTTGATTTTCCAGCTCATTGTATTCATAGCATTTGTCATTAATCCTTTAATGAACCTAATATTAGTATTGAAAATCTACTCAGAATTTTTTAAAACTCAGTGTAAATGTCCACTAAATTTTCCTCTAGTGTAACCTTATAAAAATTGATTACTTTATAGTGGAGAAGCCTAACAGTCAGTCCCTCATTCAGTTGATCAAGGTCAACATTAACAGCTAAGAGGATCCCAAAGTTTGAGAAATTCTCACAGCAAGAGGAGTCATGACCAAGGCATGCACCTTTGATATCGTGTGACAAGAATGGCATGTTTCCTCTGGTATTCCTTCCCCAAACCAAAACTGCTGTCTAATCATGGAAATGCATCAGTCAAATCACAACAGAGGGAGGGTCTACAAAATGCCTGACCAATACTCTTCGTCAAGGTCCTTGAAAACATGGAAAGGTATACAGACTCAGCTCAGAGGAGCCCGAGGTGACATGGCAACTAAATGGAATAGGGTATGGTGAATGAGACCCAGGAACAGAAAAAGGCCCTTAGATAAAAAACAAACAAACAAAAACCAGGAAATCTAAACATAGACTTAATTAATATTAGTTGATTAATGACTAATACCCCCATGGGTGTGAAGTATTTGAGGACAGTTTTTCTTGTTACTATCTGTGCAAATGAGAATTTACAGAAATGTAAATATAAAACTATTTCAAAAAAGATTTAATGAAAAGTTTTCTGAAGACATAACTACTCTTACTTTTCACATGTTCATGGTAAAATTGTTAAAGAAAACCATACTACTCTAATATTAAAAAGTCTGTTATGATCAGTCTCTTATTAACTTAGCTTTAGCTCTATCATCCATTTACATATTTGGCAAATGACTTGATATTTATATTATCATTTAGAACATAGCTTTTATTTCCATTATGTATGTGTATGTGTATATATATAAACATATATTGTATGTGTATTATTTATACACATATATATAACATTGTGTGATACATGTATATGTATGTGTATATATATATATATATATATATATATACACACACACACACACACACATATATCTGTGTATATGTGTGACTGAAGAAATTTTTCTAGATTACAGATAAGGTGAGAAATTGTTAAAATTAAAATAGTGGTTTTGAATCATATTATTGAACAAAACAATAGTATTGTTATAATCTTCCATCTTAAAATAAGCTTGGTTATATTTTTCTGGATAATTAATTAGTTAAATTTCCAAAGTATGTTTTGCAAATATTCAAGGTAACACTGTTTTAGTTTTAAACAAACAAACAAAAACCCACAGATATTCGTGAAAAGTAGCAATTACTATTGAGCTGAAAAACTTTGATAAAATATTACATGTAACACTATTCTTTTTATTTAATTTTATTTTATTTAATCATTGCCAACCTGTAAACTAATATTCTTCATTTGCAGATGAGAAAACAGACTCAGACAGAAAAAATGATTTGCTCACCATCACAGAAGTCAGAAATGTAATTTGAGCCAGGCTTGGTGGCACAAGCCTGTAATCCCAGCAACTCAGAAGGCTGAGGCAGGAGGATCCCAAGTTCAAAGCCAGCCTCAGCAACTTAGTGAGACCCTGTCTCAAAATAAAAAATGAAAAGGGCTGGAGCTATGGCTCAGTGGGTAAGTCCCCTGGGTTCAATTTCTGGTACCCCTCCTCTCTAAAAAGAAATCTAACTTGAAATCAAATTTGTTATTCTAAGTTCTTGATCTTTCACACTGTATTCTAAATGTGAATCTGTGGACATACATTTCCATTTGTAAGCATTGTGTATCACATCATCTGAATACAGCAATAAGGGTTAGAGCTTTATGAGAAGGAAATGTATTCAAACCTAGGACAGAAACACAACATAACTATTTAAAAGCTAGAATGTTATGACAACGCATAGGTATAAATCAGCAGCTTTAAAATTCTTAAATTTCTGCCAACAGAAAAGAGAAATATATGATAAATTTTGAGTTTGCATATGTATTAAAAATGCTATATTTGGTTATTTTCTTTAGCACTTAATAACATCCTTTTTCCTTACATAGAGCTTAAGTCATAGTAATCAGATTTGTCGCACACTGAGATATGTTACCAGTTAGGTAGCACTTTGTCTTCCACACTGGTTTCATTAGTCAAAGTCTAGAGCATCTCCTTGAATGAATCTGCAGAGATGTCACTGGGAACTATAGGACTACAGCTGTAAGAACAATAATTTTAAAAAATTCTTATAAAGACTGAAAAGTCTGATATTTGGAAATAATACTTATTACCCTGTACACTGTTATGTGATGCAAGGATATTGTTAAGTGTTTCAGAGAAGATCTGAAGCAAGTTTTCAGTTATCAGTTTGCAACTGTACCAGGTGAGAAGTTACTAAAATTTTTTACAGATTATATATTGTTTTCTCGGGAGGACATTATATATTGATCAGAAATTTATAAACTGAAAAAAACACTCTAAGTGTTGATAAAATATACTTTGAAGGTTAGGGTCATAAACTGTCAATGTAAAATAGATGGGCAAGAAAGTTTTCTGTAAATATCTTTACTATATTTCAAAATAACTTACTAATATATCAAGCTCAAAGGGTTCGAAATACATGTTTGATATGGCTCTATACATAGACATTTTTAAAGTCTTTAAGAAATTTTGATGGTTTTCCAAAAGGTTCTTACTTCCCTATCTTCTGATTGTCTTTGACATTCCTTCCCTTTAGATTTCTTCACTAAAGCCTTTGATAATGTTTTTTTTTTTTTTTATTAGCTACACATGACATTACAATGATCTTGGCAATTCATACATTTGAATCATTGGGGTATAGATAATATGTATTTATTGAAATTTAAATGGCTAAAATTATGATACTTTTGGTATTTAAAGTTAAACTGTATAGAAAAAATGAATAAACTCAAAATTAAGAATCCGGTATGATTTTAAATAAGCTTAATTGAGTGAAAATGTATATTTATTCCTCCAAAATAAACATTATTTACCTATTTCTGTAGTCCTTTTACAACACTGAGCTATCATGTAAGTATATAATACATACTTTATACTAGGTTCATTAAAGGATACTTATTTATAAACACCCCATGCATCATGACCAACTACCAGAACTGGTCACCCTATGTACATCTTTTAGGATTTTTTTTTAAAGGACTGCGTTCTGGTCTTGGCATTTGCATTTCTTAATTTCAGTATCAAAACTGATTTGCTCTTATTCACATGTGCCCTATAACACTGTCAGAACATCTATGCTAACTCTGAGTAACATAACAATTAGAATAAGGAAGTATCGTCCATCCATTATTACTGTGATCTATGTACAAGAGCAATCTCTGAAGAAATCTGGGTCTCCAATTTATCTATATATACATAATCTATATCACGTACTTTTCTTTCCATTCTAGATACACCTGAAGTTAGGCAATTCAGAAAGTGCATTAACATCTTTCTGTGCGCATTAGCAGATTCTAACTGTACACAAAGATCATTTGGCAATCTAAAACACAAAGTGCTCCTTTTAAAGTGCTCATTTTTCCCCAGGGAGGAATTCACTCACTAGGAAAAATCAAACTCTAATAAAGCAAATATTGTGCTCTTGGAATGGTAGCATAGACACCAGTTGAGGGCTTTTTTGTTTATTATAGCTCTGTAACTTAAACAAAAGGAATTATATCATACTTAAAAAATAGATAGAGTTGCAAATACACAGACATATTCTTAGATACTTCAAACATTTTGAAATTAAATGAGAAACCATCCCATCCCCTGAAAATAGAAGTTTAGCACAGGAATGCTCACGAAGCATGGTTACCAACATCTGATGCATAAATCTGCTCTAGAGTCCTTGTCAACCCAACCTCATTATCAGGTTTCAAAAAGACACACCAAGTTCAAAAATCTGTATTCTACAGACACCCAGGTTAGACATTAGGGCTCTTCATAAGGGCCCTTATCTTTCCCATTTGGTAAAATATTAAACATATTGTCAAACAGACAATTCATCTAATAGTCCAAAGTATCTTATAAAGATAACTTACAACTAGCAGGTCACCATCATATATAGTAACAACCAGAATATATAAAGTCTACAATTAAAAGATCAATGCATGCGAGTATCATAGTATATTACATATCTTCTAATCATGTGCACCAGTTTATTGTGCCTCAAACACACAAACAAGTATGATAGTATACCATATATGTGTACACATCATAGTAGCATAATAAACCCAATTCCAATCAAGAAAAAAAGTAAATGACTTAGGAACAATAGAACTTCGCAATAGAGGTGATGATGCTTTTAGATCTTTCTTTACTCTTTAGGAAAAAATATGACTTTTTGTAAACATCTTCATAGCTCTTTTTTCGACACATTACCAAAAACTATTATTAAATAGTAAATATCTAAGTGACATGGATAAACTATGTCTTAACACACAACACTTTCATAAAGAAAACAAGCATTTGTTAAAAGAAATGATTATAAATATTTTCTATCTTGCATTTTAACTATATTTTCATAAATAATGTCTTTAAAAGTGCTGAATATGGTAGGATAGTCAGCAACGCCAGTGTAAACAGAACATTTTGTTTTCTACTCTGCAATTTTTTTTTTTAAATCCCATTTTGTCAAACACTGCAACAGTTAAAATATTTGCATAGGGAATAGATAATAGCCCTTTTAATCATGTCTCCTGAATTCTATATAAATTAGAAAATCATATTCACTTAAAAAAACAATTCTTGAAATGTTTTAAGTTTATGGAAAAAGAAACTTACAATGCTAACCTTTCAAGTAAAATAAATTTAAAAAGAAAACCCCAAACTTGTTTTTTTAAAAATATGTTTAATAAATTAAAAAATGAGAGGTAGTTAAAAATGACAAAGAAAACCTATAATTTTAATATCATCCTTAATATAAGGCCAGTGTTCTCAGTGGATATAAATCTTTTTAAAACTTTCATTTTAGGTTACTCGGTATTATAGTCATTCAGTTCAAGATTAAAAAAATAGTCTCCAGGGGATATTAATATTCAAATATAACACGCTAATATAAATATGACAATGATTATTATTATTATTATTATTATCCTTTTTGTGCACAATAGGATATTGTTTTCTTGAATGTCAGACGTACATGCCAATGTTGGACAAGAGTTTTGTCTTAAATAGTGTATTTATAAAAAATAATATGGCAGCTAAAAGATTTGAGCACGGTACTGCCTTTTCATTATGGATGAGAATTAACAGTTTGATTTTGACATTTTTAAAATAAGTCATTCGTAACGATAGTACATGAAAACAGTTAAGGTCTGAAGTAGAGAATTATCTCTTCATAACCCTTATAAACTTTTCCTAGTATAAACAGCTCTTCACTGGATTTCACTTTCAAGGAACATATGCCACAGGACAGATGCTAGTCATCAAAATGTTTTACAGTGCTACATGTAGGCATTCTTTTATTAAGTACTTTTCTACATATTCCAAAACTAATTATCAAGCTTTTCTCTTTTTTTTTTTGTTGAAGTACATAACTTTACACAGCCATTGTAGAACTGGAGAGCCAGTCTTTAATAAATTAATTACAGTATTGGACATCTTATATATACATAGATTCATTTTCATCTATTACAATTAAAAACAATATCACTCTTTGATTTGTCACTGAGAGAAGATATCTTCAAATTGTTTTGTGCTTTGTTTACTTTTCTTCTTCTTCTTCTTTTTTTTTTTTAACATAGCAAACGCTTCTGTAATGAAAATGCCACATTTTTGGCAGTGAACAATCAGAGGGATCCTCCCCTACGATTTGCCAACAAACATAGATAAATAGCTCTTTTTTTTTCATGTACAGAAATATTGGCTGCAAAATTAGTGTTCTGAGCACAGTATTATAGCATGTTGAATACCACTGTTACATTTTAAAAATTGCCTTTTTCTGTCTCAGATTATATTAAAAAAATGCAAACCACAGCCATGTTTTGGCAATTATTTCTATAAGACCATATTGCACAAAAGTCTTTAAATACAGATATAAGTTATGCTATTTGATTAAATAGTACAACAACTACGTGGCAAATGAAGCAGCTTTACTTTGCACATGCAGTCTCTGGAAATACACTAGGAGACTGTTCATAGGACTACGAATACAGTTTGCTTGCAAGTAGGATGGGTGTTGAATAAAACAAACATAATTTGGCAATTCATTGTTTTGTGTGGTATTTTCTCCAAACGTCATCATGGATAACCTTTATAAAAAATGGAGACCAAAGACCATATGGTGGTATGTTCACAGTAGCCTGAGGAGTGCTATACTGCAGTTCTCCAGGGACTCAATTTCTGTATTATTAACTATTTTTATTCCCCATCCCAGCCCTCCAAAATTGATGTTTTTTTAAATGAAAATTAAGATTCAGAAGAAGAGCCGGCAGTACTTTCAACAAATGACTTATAGATCTGAGAGTTCAAAAACCTTGGGAAAGAATCTCTGTGCATTAAGGTATATATCTGAAGTTGGGCATCTTCATACATGTGAGGATTAGGATCCAACAGATTTCTATTGATCACCTCTCTAACTCGAGAATCGAGACTGACCTAAAAAGAAAATAGAGCAGATCCATTAAATCATATATTTTTTCAAAAGACCTCAATTAAATAAATGCAGGTTTTTGACATTTCAGACAAACATCAAAGAGTAAATTCAACTATTGAAAATAATGAGGTCATCTTTTCAAAGGCCACATAACCTTGTATAATTTTCTCCCTCCAATCTTTGATTTAAACAGACAAAAAACAAAAAATTAGTCTTTCTGCCAGAAATCTGGTTCACAAACATCTTGACTAACTTGGATTTATTTTTTCTATGCATTCATTCAGGAGCTATTGAGAGTTTCATTCACCAATGAGGTACCAGAGAATAACCAGAATATAAATTCACTTCCTCCTTTTCTTTAACTGTTGGGGAGTTATTCGATAATGGGATAAAACTCCATTGGCAGAGAAGAGTTCTCGGATCAAAATTAACATGCATATCAAGGCTGAATCTCAACAGTTTCTTATCCCAACAGATCCTATGGCATCACAGTAGGAAAAGAAGAATGTGGAAAAGCAGAGTGAAGCAGAAGCACAGGAGGCATTCTTAATAATGTATCTACCTGGCAAGACCCAAAAACCATCCTTGCATTGCAATACATCCAAAGATCTCTGTACTCAACAAAAAGCAGAAAAATTGCTTGAAATGGAATCTTTGAGAAAAGTATAAATAGGAACTAAGAATATGTATTAAAATAATCAATGCAGTGTTATTTGAAAAGTGCATAGAAGCCAGGCATAGTGGCACATGCCTGTAATCCCAGCATCTTGGAGGCTGAGATAGGAGGATTTCAAGTTCAAAGCCAGCCTCAGCAACTGCAAGGCACTAAGCAACTCAGCGAAACCGTGTCTCTAAATAAAAAACAAAATAGGGCTGGGGATGTACTTCAATCCCTGGTACCCCCCCCCCTAAAAAAAAGAAAAGTGCATAGAAATGAAATTCTGTTGTGATATAGCACCCTCCTCCCATTCCAGGCTGGAACAGGTAAGGACACACTGGGAAGGGAAGAGTGGAAAATAAGTAGCAATGAGGGCATGCTTGGGGAACAGGATTGATGCTCTGCCTTGAATGGCTTGTTTAAGAAACACTCCAAGAGCCCTGACTGATTTCTTCAACTTTACTACTGAGCAAGGAATAGGAAATTGTGACCCATGTTTACTGGTCTAATAATATACACAACATACATATTTATACCTACACAGCCTGTTATAAGCATTTATCAACAGTTTCTTTGGTTCTGGTTTCTTTTCCCATCACTGTCTGGGGTCCAAGACAGTCTCTGGATGAAGCCACTCACATTCCATTGAGTGTTCCCAGATTCCTGAGCTCTACAGATAATGTGGAATTGGGTTGACTGATACACTCCAGGGATAGCTGCTAGGTTTGTCAGGAAAGGGTGATCCAGACTAAATTTCAGTGGTTTAGTTAGACCAATTTATAGATAGAAAAATTATAAGTTTCTGGCTGAACTGTGTATTTTTCTTTGTAGGAAATTCCTTAAAAAATAATGTTATGGAAGTGTATCATTTAGTTTTTCATTTCTGTAGCATTCGAAGTCATCATCAATTACCAAACAATAAAAATAGATAATTCCCCCCCCCCGCCCCCGGCCATTTTCTCATTTCATCTAAAGGTATCTTTTGCATTTCTACTCAGTGGCACAATATTGACATTAGAGTTTAAACTAATTCATCTTATTTTGAAATGGGTTGTTCTGGTAGGGTGAAGTCTTACCAAACACATGCCACTGTTTTTGTAAATGGTGGTTTTATTTTTAAACTTGAGATAACTTTTTGTTTCAATGGAGAAGAACATTTTAGATTAGTGAAATAGAAAAAAAGGATCATTTACTTCATAAATAATAGCATCATTAAGTTTAATATAATAGTCCCTTATCAGTAGCTAGAATCAATAGCTTAAAGTTATCTGAAGACAGAGAAATAAAATAACCTTAATTATTACTTGTTTTGAGTCATTCATTTTCTTTGCAAATTAAAAACTAGTAAAATAGCATACAGTAATACAGCTTAACATTTGCCAATCTGTAACAAAAGCACATTTGTTATTTCTATTTGAAAAATAAAACATTTACCTTAATATCTTGTTTGTCTGAAAGGTTGTCAGTCAAAAGAAGTGTAGAGAAGTCAATAACAAGTTTAAGCCCATGGGAATAACAATCTACAGTCTCATCTTGTGGTGTCTTGTGCTTCAGAATGAGGATCATCTATAATACAAGGCAATGGGGTGGATCCAGGCTTGGGCCTGGGCCACAATCACCCTAGGATCAGGCATCTCTAGATGGCTTGTAAGCCATCTTAACTGGGGTCCACCTCATCATTCGGGGCTGAGGAATTCCTGGGAAAATCTTATCCCAAGGAGAGATAAAGTTGAGCACTACAAGAGCTATCTTTAGGCAAGGGAAGTTGTCTTCTTTCTCTGTCTGTATTACAGCAGTAACAGTTTACATACAAATACAGCTACCACGAGATCTGACGCATGAGATCTCTCTGACTACTGAGAATTTGGGAGCATTTCGTTGGCAGCATTTAGCTGCTGGTTTCAACAGTGCTGACCACTGTCAGTTTAGGGAGGTGGCAACTGCAGCTTCACAAAGATGGAAGTGATTTTATGGCAGCCTCTGTGGACTTGGAAATATTCAATCCCACAGGGAGGAGGCTGGAAGAAGAAATGAGAATGGCTTGGAAGCATAGCAAACATAGGAAACTGTCCCGTGGCCATTTCACACACTAGTGGAGAGGAAAATTCAATGAGTGCTTAGGTTTCACAAGAGTATACAGGTAAAGTGGGGGGAATGAAGATAGAAATCTTGATAGTGTGGTTTGGGAAGATCTGGGCTAACCATTGGTGTACTCTGGTCAAACTTACTAGATTTCCTATGCATTGAAGAGGATTACTGTGCTTAGGTGAATACTTCTGATCTGACCTTTATTTTGTTGTTTTTTTGTTTTTGTTCTAGTCCTTAAGATATAATGAAAATTTTGACCCCATGGATATGGTTGTCAGAATTGTAGTGAAAATAATTTTCACTGAAAGTCTTTTTTTTCCCCATAAGACTTCCTTTATGTTGATTTTCTGAACAATATTTTAATATAACTTGATTAAATACTTCCTCCCATTTTCCATCTTATTTTTAAGAAATTGTTTTACTTAGGATTCTTTTCCAAGTCAAATTCTGATCAATAATTTTTTTTTTCATTTATAAGCACCTATCAGATTTTAACAGTTAGAACTTTTGCCACTGGAGATTTTTTCTTAATTTTAACTAAAATTATTTAAATTATTTTAACTAAAATTTATTTTCCCCACATTAGTTTTAGAACCAAAGATATCTGATTCTCCTATCAATTTTAATAAATCTTGAGCATGTGCACATTACTTATGTATTATTTTATGCTTGTTATTTCTACTGAAAATAATTATAAATTACAAATAAGATGGATGATATGATTGCATCTATTGGAGCATTCTATGAAACAGCTTTACTTTGCACATGCAGTCTCTGGAAATACACTAGGAGACTGTTGATAGGACTACGAATACAGTTTGCTTGCAAGTAGGCAAAGATATTAGTAAGATTAAATGAAGTGATTGTATTCTTGGGCGGACTCAGATGAGATAGCATATCTTGCTTGTTTTGAGAGTTCCAGCATGTGGTAGGGTGGTTGTTTCTCATTTTTATCTAAAGTTCTAAAGTTGGGTTTATAGACGTCAGTCATGAAGAAGATACTGGACAATGGAGGAAGGACTCCACATGCTTCAGTAAGAAGAGCTCCTCAGTTGGAGTCACAGGTTCCTGGGCTTGTGTTCTATAGTCACCAGATTCAACTGCAATTTCTCCTGACATCCACTTTACCTCTCTGAAGACCAGCTTCCTCTGCTGTGAAGTGTTGGCCTCTCTTCTCCTGGCTGAAGGACTTGGTGAGATGTAGATTGTGAAAACGTGTGTGAGACCCTCTTACCAACAGTGAACTTTGAGCCCAATGTGGAGAGATAAGAGGAGATGTAATAATTTATCATAATTATGAGGACGATGTTTTGATCAAACCCAGTCAGTGTCTCTGCTTTTGTGTCAAATGGAGCTTCACCTTCTCAGTTTCTTTTCTGAACACCCCTTTCTAGACTCTATCCTTCGGCCTTGCCCACTCCAACATTGACCACAACTTTTAGTTACTTATTTCCAACATGTGTTTTCTGTCTTCATAGAATGTGAACTCCATAATGGATAGGCCAGTGTCTGTCTTGTTCACCATCATATATCCAACACCCAGTCCAGAACCTGGCTCATGGGACTCCAATTATTAAAACCTGGTCTTGAAACAATTTGAAGAAATTTCTACTATGTTGGCCTCAATAGTTTCATTAAGGAAAAAAGTCATATATATACGTGTGTGTGTGTGTGTGTGTATATTTACATGTATAAATAACTATAAATGTAGGCTTTCTCTACATATAACAAAATGAAACATAACTCAAATTAAGATAAAATAAACTTGAGTGAAGAAAATGTAGTCTAGTCAATAATAAATGCTTCATAACTTAGTTATTATCATTTTATAAATGATGCAAATTTTCATGTTTTTTAAAAATATCTGAGTAAGTAAGGCCAGATCATTTTGTTCCCATGTAAGAAATCAAGTTTGTAGTGCCTATCTTTTATTTTGATTTTTGGTTGTAGGTATTGAATCCAGGGGCACCTAACCACTGAGACACATCCCCAGCCCTTTTAATTATTATTGTTCTTTTATTTTGAGACAGGGTCTTGTTATGTTGTTTAGGGACTTGCTAAGTTGCTGAGGCTGACTGTGAACTTGAGATCCTCTTGCCTGAGCCTTCCAAGCCACTGGGATGTGGTAGGCATGCCCTACCACCCCCAGCATGTAGTGGCTGTCTTAAAAGCTGTGCTAAGATTCGAAGTTCAATCTGAGTAGGAGGACCATATTGATTAGCTCTGTCATTTGGTGGGGGAGGTTATGGTTAGTCTCTGTGCCCATTTTTATGGTTACTCTTGTAAATAAATGAACTGAATAATGAGGCTCAAAAAAAGTTAAGTGATTTATCCAAGTCACACAATTAGGATGTTTCAGAGCCAGGACTTGAATCCTATGCACCTGGACATTCATCCCATGCTCTGACTACTATATAATCAGGGATCTCCTGGATGTGACATGTGTTCTTACCAAGGAAAACAACATTTGAAGAACAATAATGCAACCTTGTCAGTAATATGTGGTGCCTGATTAGAGACTGAGAAAAGTTCACACAGGATCATCACCAAGCTAAAATAGATTGGAAAGGGCTCTAATTTCCATGATGTTTTGTGAATCAAATCACTGAACATGGCTCAAGAGTAAATATATCCATTCCTTGGCTTAAAATACAGCTTTTCAATAATTATTTTGTATAAATGAAAAGACCTACCTTCATTTTACTTGGTTTTTGAGAGTAAACAATAATCAAATATAATTATTACTAACTTGAGAAGAGAAAAACCAGGTAACTAAACAAAGGCACTTCATACAGTTGTGTAACTTAGATTCTATATCAAAAGTTATTTATAATTTATTCACAGGTCAGCACATAGGTAGCAACATGATAAAAATGTGAATTCTAACTCTTTCTCTTTTCGCTCTCCATTATATGATATTTTGAGATTTAGGGTAGGTAATGGATCAAATGTGGATGTTAGGAAAAATGGAAAAAATAAATATGGCTATTAAATTATATATTAGTCTTTAGAAAAGTTAAAAAGGTCATGTTCCTGATTAGGAAATACTATCTTAAAGACTTTGTGGTGAAATTCATGTTCAAAATAAAGAAACTAGGCCAAAACATAACTTCATTATTTTAGCAAAAAACGTGAAAACCTAAGTTTATATTTCAATAGTCAGTATCTCTGGTAACTCTCAGCACATCACAAAGAAGAAGTAATTTTGTGAAAATCAAGTATTTTACAAAGCTCCATCAACCAGGACATCTGAGAACGAGGAGCTGTGAGAACAGTACAAGTGCCCCACATAAAAACTAAAGGCCAGGACATGGGGACCATAGAAATAAAGAAATGGTAAGTACTAAATATGGAGAACACATTTTTTTCCTAACAATTTTTAAAAAGTGGAACAATTTTTAAAGCGAACCATATGTAGTACGAAGTACTGACCTAGGTAATCCAGACCCCTATCACTTTAAGACAACACACGTCACATACTCTAGGGAGAGAAATGGGCTAGATAATCTTCCCAGTGACTGTAATTTTGTGTAACTATAGGCAAGGACACAATGGGGCACAACTGGATCATATGGCTTATTTGCTGTATAATGCAACTTTGAAATACAAATGAGAATAAAATCATTATGCTAATAAGATTCAAGAAGAGTTGATTAGATCCTGAGGTTCTAGATACAACAGAGAACTGAAGGAAATTTTTTTTTGAATGTAGAATTATTCTACTGTTAGAAATACAAGGTGATTTCAGTAATAAATGTATCAGTAATAAATGTAAAAATTTCCTACTTAGTTTCTATGACTATTTCTATATTAATGCAGGAAATGAAAAATGAATCAATCTTTTGTGCCTCCAATTTAGGAAGTTTTCTCATTTTGTAGAGAGAATACTGCTGGAGTATCTGGAATTCCAGTGACACTTTAACCTAACATATAAAAATAATTAAAGAATTTAAGTACACTTTATTGGAAGTGAAATAGTGTATGTAGCATTTCCAACTTAGAGATTGGTAAAGTAGATGAAAATGCATTTTTCAGGTCTCAGAGGAAGGAGTGCAAAGCAGGATTTGGGGGCTGGGGTTGTGGCTCAGTGCTGGAGCACTTATTTAGCATGTGGGAGACACTGGGTTCCATTCTCAGAAGTTTATATAAATAAATAAATAACATGAAGTTCCATCAACAACTAAAAAAAATAAACAAAAGGCAGGACGGGGCTATCTCTAGCACTCAATGAAACACTGATGACAACAGCCCAGTCCTAGGGCACAAGAGGGCAGTGTGCAGGACAAAGGGAACAGAAAGCACCGGGACCAGATATTTAACAATGCAGGTAAAATCACAGTAGTTTAGTAGAGACAGAAAAGGCAACTGGAGGGTAAGGAAAAGACAGCCTCCCCGGGTCCCTGGGTTCTCTCAGGGCTTGAAAGCACTCTGAAGCTCTGACACCTGGGTGCCTGGCCACACTGTTATCCCAGGGCTTCTAACTCTGTCAGCTGCAGCATTTCTCATGCACAAAATTAAATTAATTTTTTAAAAGTTAAGAGGAGCATGCTATTTGATGGCTGGAGGTGTTTCTTACTGATTAGGTATATCCTGGCAATGGGAAAACAAGCTTGCATTTTCTATAGAATAAGTAAGATAATTCCTATTTCCCACCCTTGCCCTGAAAATATCAATAGTGATAAGAGTCCATTTTCAGTGCTGAAAAATCCAATCATAGGCATCATCAAATATGTTACTGGTTTTTTTTTTTTTTTTTTGAGCCCTTATGCCAGAAGTTTTCAAACTAGTACATGTATGAAAACAAAGTGCAGATTCCTAGGCTCTGTTTCCAAAACTTCAGATCTAGCATAGTCATGGGTAGGCCTCAAGAATTTGCTTTTTAGACCTGCTTTCATAGGAGTGATCTAGGGAGGATGTTTTGAGAAGCATCACCCTGAGGTAAATTCTTCTTTTCCATTTTAGTTTAAGCCACAGCAAGTTGCTTAAACAGGTGTTAGTTCTGAGAAGCAAGTAGACTACCACACACGGTTCAGCCAGAGATAAGTGATCAAAGAATAGTGGAGGAACCTGACTTTCAAACAGGGATATTCATGGTTTGGAAGTTCAGTAATCTGCTCAGAGAAGTCTTCTGACCTGTCCACATCCCATGTACTACCCAATTTGGATTGGACTGTGGTTCCTTTAAGGCTCTCCTTGGTCTTAGAGAGCCCACCTCAGTGCTTTCCAGATTTTTACCTCTTTTGGCGATAGTATGGAAATGTAATCTTCATATATCATTCTGGCCTTTTCTTCAATTACTTTTTTGTTCTGCTCTTTCTTTAAGTCTTCACAGGCGAGCCAGAAAAGTAGATTCTCTTCACTGTATTCTGTTCGCAGGAACTCTCTGAACAGGTTCCTTCCTGCAGGGGCCTTCATCATCTTGTCGAAATTTTGAGACCAGGACAAGACTTCATCTGCAGTGGGATTCTGGCTGCAGAGACAGAATGGGACCATTACCAAAAGCAGCCTTGACCTGGGAACACTAGACTAGGTGAAGGAGGGGAGGAGATAAAGTCTACTCAATTGCTGCCATCTAGTGGTCAGTATTTTGACATGCAGTTCGGTCTGGCAAATAACCTGCCAGGACCAGATGAGTTTTCTCTGGGTCTTGACCAACAATCAGGTAGGCACAATAAACCGGGAAAGGAGTCAGGTGATGAAATAATAAGGACCTATACACTGTATGAAAATGGTTATCATAAATTCCTAATGAAGGGGCGGGAATTGTGGCTCAGCGGTAGAGGGCTCGCCTAGCACTGGTGGGACCCGGGTTCCATCCTCAGCACCACATAAAAATAAAGCATTGTGTTGTGTCCATCTACACCTAAAAAATAAATATTTAAAAATAAATTAATAAATAAATAAATTCCTAATGAAGCTTGAAAATGTTTAAACCCTGACAATAGGTTGCGAGTGAATGGTACTCTGAAGCATAAAATAGATTTTTTTTCTTGACATCATAAAATAGATTTTTCTAGCTATAAGGAATAGTTTATTTTTTTCTTCTCTATCAGCCATTTATTCACTAGTCACTGGATCTCAAATAAGATCACATAGTGTGCACTTGTTATGTTTTTCTAAAATGCCATTGTAAACCAGAGGGATTTTAGGAGACATTGGGGAGTTTTAGATACCTATGTGCAGATTTTTTCATGACTACTGAAGAAACCATCATTCATTGTTCCATCTGCATTTGGCCAAAGAGGTATCTATATTTTATTTTTCTTAACCTTTCTGACCAGGTATTTAAAATAAATCTGTTACTATTCCATAATGTCTGAACTTTCTCCTTTGCTTAGAAATATTAAATTTTTAAAAGTTTTAAATTACAGTGAAGCATAATTATGAAAAACTCCTCATAAAAGAAAACACTTACATGAATAGTCAACTTGTATTTTGACTTTTATGCCCTAGACATTGCAGTTCAATTTCTCATTTTGGATAAACTTGTCAGAGTCTGTTTATGGAAATAGAACCAGAAGCCAACTGGGTATCCTTCCCAATTGACCAAAGATGTTGGTTATCCAACATGTTTGTGTGCGTGAGTGTGTGTGTGTGCGTGTGTGTGTGTGTGTGTGTTTAGAGTCTTTGCTCATAAAGAAAACAACTTTAAAAATACTCTCAGAAAATGAGAGTTAAATAGGCAGTTTGGGAGGCTAATTCATGCAATAATCTCTACCTCTTTCAAGAGAAAAGATAAACGTAGTTGATGTTCTGGCTGATAACAGAGCTAATAGAAAAACGGAGGAAAAGCAATTGCAGTCACAAAACAAGATCTCAATAGACTATGTTAGCATTCACTTCACAAAGTCATTCCAAAGATCACCCTGAAGCAAGACACACTGCTTAGGCACTCAGTAGACGTTAACAGCACAGAAAACAGTGTCCGCCTCACACTCACCACTCCTCTAGAACCTGGATGCTCTCCATTTTTGTGGTGTGTGTGGGTCTTCCTGCCGTCTCCCCTCTTTCTTCATTCCTGACGGTGAGGCTGCAATGTAGCATAACACATTATTTTGTTAAGACTCAATTAAAGAATGAATTTTGGAGGAGAAACATTTCATAAGAGATTTTATTGTCAATTATGTGAGAATATTTAAAATATAGAAAAAGAAACAACACTTTTAAATGGTGGGTAAGACTGTGCCAACTGAAAACAAGAGAATAATCTTCAAATAAAGTGAAAAAGCAATTTAGAATAATCAAAAGGGAGAGTGCTACTTATTCTAACCTCACAGTTACATAATTTGGATTACTAAAAAAATCTGAGATATTTATGTGATTATGTGCTTCAATATTTGATATATAGTTTTGTTTTGTTTTTGCAGTACTGCGGATAGAACCCAGGGGTGTTGGCCTTAAACTTTCAGTCCTCCAAAGTTGCTAGAATTACAGGTGTGTACCTTCACACCTGGCTTAATACATACTTTTATGTAGTAATATATACTTTTATATATATTTATGTAAAAAAAAATATATATATATATACTTAATATATCCTTTTATATATTTTCTTTAAATGAAAAGTCATTTTGACTTTGGGTTAATTCTATTCAGTTTGTTTTCCATTTATTTTTCCCATAACAGCAAAGAAGATAAAATGTCTCCAAATCTAATACAGATTTTGTTAAATTCACACATCCTTCCCACAGACCAGGTGTGCTGTCAACCAGTCATCTGAGTTTAAGTTACTGGATTTGTCTTTGACCTTTCCCCTGATGATCTCCGATGCTCTGAGAGGAGCAGGCCTGCGACTCTGAAGGTTTGGGACAGGAGAGCATTGGGCAGGAGGAATCTCTGTTTCTGAGGTGTAGGGTGGGAATTCTACAGGATTACAGGAGCAGGATGATCCCATTAGCTTTAGTGACCCAAAACAAGAATAAGTATTGTCTGACTCAGATAAACTGCAGCTGATCAGTGCCTGGGGTGGAACACCCAAAGTTCAATGTGTGGACTAGCAAGGATGCAGGAGGGTGGGAAGGATAACTCTGTCCTTCTACAACTTGAGCTCCTGAACTAGCAAATTAAAGCTTCTGTCTAAAAGCTGAAGAGCTTCACTAGAGCCTGTCAAGAGCAAAGCCAGGGCAGATAACACCTCTTTCATTTGTTCCTTCTTTCATGTATTTACTCTGCAAGAGGCAAGGGAAACTTTTTTTTTTTTTAGTGCCTGCCATGAGCCCATCACTACTCTCTTGGGAGTAATGTTATTCTGAGTATGAGCAAAGTAATGTGCAGAGTGGATTGGCAGGTGGGGCAAAAACTCAATATTAAATGTGTGGTATGGCTGGAGTGGGTTGGAACTCTAACAGCCTGCATTTCTTTTGAGTGCCTACAAACCTCAGTCTTCCATGTTGCTATCCATTTAGGTGACATATGTGTTTCATAAGAGAATCATTTGTTTCTCAAAATTATCTGAGTGACAGTGCTTCTCTGGAATTTCAAAGTGGGTTGTTGGGGGAGATAAACCACTGACAATACTCTCTGAAATTTCTTGCATATATAAAATAAATATATGTGCATGGATATATGTGTATATATACACACAATTTTTGGTAAAATCTATAAAGATCTTTTTTTTATTTTGTTTTAATTAGTTACACATAAGATCTTTTTTAAATAGGAAAATAATACTCATTCTACCAAGCATTATTGATCTTATATGTGTGGATATACATACATATTAAGGTTCTGCAAGAAGACTGAAAAAGAGATCTTTCCCTGCTTAGATAGTAAGGTCCTTGAGAGCTTATTTCTGTTGCATTCCCACATGTCCCAGAGAATGTGCCCCACAAAATGTAGGCACGCCCCATGTCATGCAATATCTTTGAAAATTTGTTCTCCATGTGCCTCTGCTGCAGAGTAACAAATCTGGAATTCACGTGCATGATTCACAAGTTTCCAAAAATGAATTCTGGCTCTTAAATCTGTTTCTGCAATGTTTACAAACATCCCAAATGCTACCATATTAGAGTGATCGCGATGAAGTACTGGGTTGTGTTTACGTCTTGCACTTCCACAGATGGTAAAATGTGGACACATATTTGGACTACAACTGCTTATAACAGATATTCAATAAACGCTTAACTGCTCCCCATTTGTGTTCTCTCTCCATCTAATGTTGGACCCTGTACAAAGAGGCTAAACTCTAGCAACTGGCAATTTATTCTCTTAATAAACTTCTCTATAATACCACTCTTCAAAATGGGTTTCAGGATTGCAATGTTCAAGCACCACTGGAAATGCCATTTTAAGACAAAGTGCAGAAGATCAACAAGAAACTGGACTGTGTGCCTGCCCTGATACATACAAGTCTGTCACCTGCCCCCAATTTCACTTGGTCCTGATCTAAGGAAGCATAGTTTGTTTGTTTGTTTGTTTTATTAAGGTGATAAACTACTGGAAATATTTGCTATAGAGCAACATCCACATATAGTCTGTGTTGGAGAAATTTCCAAAAGGAAAATATCAAATGTAAAAGTTGTAAAGTCTCAAGACTTTTTTTTTTGTTGCATGCATGTAATATTTATAACTAACATTTCTACTTTTTAAACAATTAACTCCATCAAGAGAACAAAACACATTTGCAGTACCCACTATGGGATTCTTGATCAAAGCTTAAATACTTTATGGATGAAAAATGTCAACAACCTGGGCTAAGTATATTAAAATAAGCATTTAAGTTCTACTGGAGATTTTCTAGAATGGTGGCTTTGAAAAAGGAGGAAATATATATGGTCCATTTCAGAAAAATCAGAAAATATGCTCTGTTTCTTGGTGAATTGTTGGTTTATGTTGGATAGTGGCATGGGGAAAGGTTGCTGCCAATTAAACAGTTTACCTAGGGGTTTGTGATCAGCGATATGTGCAAGGTCTATTATGGAAGATGGTCTACTAGTGCTAGAAGAACAACTGGCTTTCAGGAAGAACCCTTGAAATGGTGCAGATTGGATGAAAACTTTACAGTAGCCATGGTAACTCTGGGAAAGAGGATGATCATAAAACCATGTATGTTTAAACAGAAACTCAACTGAGGAATCAAGATGCTCAAGGTTAATACGCTGTGCCACCAAGGCTCCAAGAAAGAACCACTGTCATTGGTAAAGGCAGACAGTTTCCAATATTTTAACCATCTCACCCTGTGATATCAATCTTTTTGTTGTATATAAAAGCTTTTAACTAAAATTTCCTAGTACATAAATGAAATCAACATCCATTACCTTCTGAAAAATAACTGGCAGATTATTCTTTAATATTTCATTTTCATCATTCAAAATATTCATAGCAAAATACTGTAGCTTTATTCAAGAGTTGACAATAACCTACATATATGTATGAAACACCTGGCTTATGCCACCGTGACTGGAAATTCCACATGCATAGGACAAAAACGTGCTGCCCCGGAGCTCAGACAGGTAAGTAAACATCACACGGCATGCTATCAAGAAGTAAAAATAATGCATATGGTGTTTCCAAGACACAAGCATGGTATCTATACTTTTGCAAGAGGGAATTGAGACAGGCTTTGCAGAGGAGGTAATAATTAAATTGGGTTGAAAATGAGCAGATGTTTGCCAGAGATATCTTCTGGATAAAAGGGATTCCAATCCAAGGAATGATAAAGTTGTATAGAGTCTGGGAGCAGTCAAAAGGCACCATCTAAATGGAGAAGAGTGGACAGATGAGATGGTTCAGGGCAAGAGCCGAAAACCAGGATAAGCAGTGAGGTATGTCCTAAGTGACCAGCCAGGATGACCGGGTGGACTGCACAGGCAGATCACAACCCCCTTGGGATGATTCCAGCTCTTCTTGCTTTGTTTCCCCTTCAGGATGGTGACAATGAAGTGACCTATTTCACAAGAAGGTAAAGCAACAAATAAGAACTTGGGACCAAAAGGAAAATTATTTCAAATGCTTAATTGGATGTAAGGACCAATGAGCGGGATTCTAAAATGGGAATGTCAAATTTATCAAAGAGCTCTTAAATTTCAATGGAGGAAACAGACTTCTATTTTGCCGTTATTATAAAACACTCCCTCACACATTGCCTTCCTTACTTCTTCCTCCCAACAGTCCTGTGAGGTAAGCAGGGTGTTTATTATTAACCATTCCATTTTATTTACAAGGAAACATCACGCGGTCTATTTATATAGCACAACTAAAACACAGCAGGACTAAGACAGCATCTCCCATCCCTGGACTTCTTATCTGTGCTCATTTTCACTTTGCAGGGACCGCTCTGCACATAAACGAGCCGACTGTGATGTTTTACCTTTTTGGTTATTTACCAAAATTGATTTTTTCTTCAAGGTTTGGGAAAGGCAAACCACTTATTCCAAGTGTGTCCTGAGTGTAAATGCCCCTCCATGGGCATCGTCCCACAGCCCATTCCAAAGGAGCTGTGCCCCAGGACTCAGCCTGCAATAGATATGGGTGGGTGGCCACTTGTCTTCAGTTCCCCAAACCTGAGACTACCAGAAAGGAGCTGGTACAGAAAGTTTTGAAAGAGGAAGAAAAGATGTGATAGCACTTGCTGGGGACAAGCTGCTGTGGCTTCGAAGGCCTGCCTGGAAGCCCACCTTCCTCCCATCAACAGGAAACAACTTTCAGAGAGGAAAACAAGGGAAGGCGAATAGGACTGAGACCCTGCTTACAAAAGACTGCCAACCCTCCCCCACCCACAACCAAACAAGTACAGAGGCACCAGGAGGGAACAGTAGCCATGTGACATCCGTAATTTCAGACACATAAGAGCTGAGTGCAAACCTACGACCTGAACCTCATCTCCTTCATTTCTCCATTTTTATAATGCAACTTGGTTTTGAGTGGGGTTTGTGAGATGGAAATAGTAGCTAGTAATCTGTGCCTGGAAATGTTACACAACACAAATGAATAATTTTAATATAGTTAATTTAATATTAAAAATAGCATCACCTCTGTAAAAACTCTTGCATTTCATAGTCATGTATTCTGTGTCAAAAAACAGTTTTTCAT